TCTATGTATATATATATATATATATTATTTATGTACAGTGCGCAAAATGAAGAAACAACTTTTAAAAGTACGACAGTTTCTTAAATTCAATTCCGCAGGAACTATTCGACAGACTTCACTCAAAGTTTTCTTTTGTCATGAAATTGCATTCTTTAAAATGATGTAAAAAATAATGTGACTTACATTTCAAATTTTTTCTGACTATTATTAAATACAATAACAAAAAATAATAAATATTTACGAAAAGCTATTTCTTACATGGAATATCTTTCGATGAACAAATTTTATAATTCTTTTAATTTTATTATAATTAGGATAAACCAATTTTATTACATATACCAGACTTTTAACTGCTCTCCTGACAAAACTATTACGACCATATTTCCCAGATTGCGGCTACTACCTATATATTTAGGATCAGAAATCCAAATCCATCCACAAAAAAAAGGTATTCAAAGAAGGTAAGTTCTTGTGTCTGATTTCCTAATTTAAAATATCGTTTTCAAAAACTAATTAGCATATTTGAGATCACCCTTTGAACCATTAAGATTGAGTCCCAAAGCGTGAAGATCCGATCAAAAGTTATTCAGGGTGGTCCGTTTTTTTTATTTCGCTTACTGCACTTAGAATAATAAATTAAAAACCTGTATACCTATTGATTTTTGTGTTTTTGGGTGCTTCAATTTATGATTTTTTTAATTTTTTTTTTCATAAAATGGATATTTACGAAGCAACATATTAAATCAATGTTTTTGACGGGAGCTTTTAATATCTATAATGTACATGGTTGTGCCAAAATAATAGAAACACTTCTATACTATTTCAGTTCTTCCTATTTCTCAATAAATACTTAGAGAACTATTTTAAAACTTTACAAATGTTTAACTCATGCTATTTCTCATACATATCAGTTCAAAGCTTTTAGAGGTATGAGGGACCAGTAATAAATTACGAATGGAAAAACGTGTTTTTGAACATCCTATGCCAAAAAATACTGCGATAAGATTGTAATTCATGTCAATTACGTTGATAATCCTATGAAATAAATGCATAAAAATTCGTAAACCTTACTTCATAGAGATAAAGACATTTTTATTTTAAAAAAACCTTTTTTTTTTACTTACGTTTTCTTACTATAACTGCAGAAATATTCAATAAAATCAAACAATAATAGTATAACAATTTTAATATAACAACAATAATAATAATAAAAATATTTCAAAACTTGAGCAAGATGCATGTAATAGCACGAACATGCTTTCATACTGTGCATTCACTGAAGACATTTAAAAAATAATTTCCACAATTTTGATTAGAATCTAAGAAAAAGTCCGATTTGAATATCTTGAAAACATAAGAAGATTGCAGCCACTTTCTAAGTACTTTTTTCGCATTTTTATTTCAGTAAAATTAACAATAAAATATGGTTTCACATTATGTGATTAAAATTGGTTAATTGCGGTAAAATTCGGTAATGTACCTTAGAGCACGGCGTAAAATCCATTTATTCCGTTTGATTTTCCTTTGAGTTTTGTATTTTTCACTAAATGTATAGTAATAAAAAACATAATTTTGAAATTCAAACTTCCCATAAACTGTTACAACATGAACGTAACTGTTACATAAACTGTAACGACATGAAAAATAAAAGAATGAATGGTTTAAACACCGTATATTTAAATTTTTATCACTAGATTTATGTTATTGTTTTTTTTACAAGAAATGTCATTACCATAAGTAATTTTATCAGAGATTATTTTATCCGTCTAAAAAGGGTAACAAGAAATAAACAAGAACGCAAATAGATCTTCAGTTATTACTATAACTTTTTCCATTTATAACTAAGCATCAGATTTTTTTTAAATATAAATATTACCTTAACATTTCTGTGGGCATTAAATTACAACTGTATATGTTTCATTCCTGCTGAAACAACCTCTCTTGTAGGGGATCTAACCATCTTAAATGAGAAGGTTTGACCTTTTTCACCCATAACATTTTTTTTTCAATAAAAAAACTAGTTTATAATCTGTGACAGAACATTGTAAACTATCAAATAAATTCAACATAAAAAAAAAATTATGAAAAAAAAATAGAAAAATGTCGTTGTAAAAATTTATTTAAAGTTTTCGTTTATTTTTTGTTGTTGTCGGGATGATTCTTCTCGTTATAATTTTAATATTGTGCTATTTTAACATATTATATAGCAAATTGATCTTTTTTTTAAAACTTGAGTACACGCTAGTATGCATCAACCTATACGGAAACATGGTGTAATTTAGCATCTTATTCTGGAGCAATTTGGCATCTCTCATCATCGAACCAATTTTTCTGAGTCTGTGCAACAATTGTATGTGAATCAGTTGACAATTTTGAACTGTTTAAGGATCATTGAAATAAGAATCCTTTTTTATTTCTGATGATTTTTAAGAAATCAAGTTAGTAAACAATATGCTGAGTGTTAAGTGGAAAGTAAAGTAACGCGCGTAAACTATGCAAGAATTACAACTAAAACTTCATCCCTATATCCTTTCTTACTTGAATTGTTTTATCAGAATTTCTTGTAAATTTCGTTCCTAGATCTACACTTTATTTTCCTTATGTTGCTAGAGTTACCCTTAAAACTTTTTTACGTGCTTTGATCTTTACTCAACGTTCCATGCTAATTTATATTATCATCCTGTTTTTTACAAAAAGCCATGAAATCTTCTTTTACAGAAAGAATTGAGCTTATTTATTCATTTCAAATCCTTTTAAATGCTTATCTATTAAGCTCTTCATAAATTTAACATAGCGTACATGATTAATTAATAATCGTCATTACTATAATTTTCTAAAAAAAAATGCATTCTAAAAGAAATTCATAACTTAAAAAACGTATGTAACACAATCAAAGTATGTAACATAATCAAAGTATGTAACATAAAAATCAAAGAGTTTTTCTTACTAGATTTTCCATTAAATTTTCAGTCTAACTTTCAATATTTTTTGAACTATTGGGACTGTTTTATTTTCTGCGTCATCGTAAAATTTTATTTTTACTAGAAAAATGTATTCGATTCTTAAGCTAATTTTTTTTTTAAAATTTGAATGAAATTTACCTTATTTTACACATTGGAGTTAAACTTGAATGAAATATCTTTCAAATTCACTTACCGACATGAATCCGAGCAGGTAAATTATGCACATTTCTAAATCCAATTACAAAAATGAAGAAACAGTAATAAATTTTCATTACTTTTATGTAAAAGAATTTAGAATCATTCAAAACTAAACTACAACCTAAACTAAGCCAGAGTGATTGGCAGAAGATATTTTAAGGTATGTGAAGAAGAAGAGATGGTATCTGAATGTGGACACTTCATCCAGACGACAAGAACATTTTCGTTCGAATTGACGTAGAATAGTGGGAGGAAAACATAAGCACACTCTGGAACTTCTTCCAGAAACTTGGTCCTTTCTTTCTTTTTACGAACTCGAAATCTTCTGATGATGGCTGTTTTTTATCATTTTCTTCCTCGGCTAAATTGAGGAGCTAAGGGCTTTGCGTGAAAAAATTTTTCGTGTTGCGAACGTATCACCTGCCAGTTAAATGATCGTTTCTAATGTGTGAAACAATGCCAGCTACTCTTTTTGTTTCTTTGTTCACAGATTTGAAAAAAAGAAAAGAAAATGTACTCTTAGAAATTAGCACATAAAATTCTGCGAAATAGCTGTAAAAATAATTATATTCGGATATCAAATAAAGTTAATTGTTTATTTCATAATTATTTGACACATTTTAGGTTATATATCACTGTGCAGAAATATTTTGTAAAATTAAAAAATAGGACACGAATTGTTGCATATTTTGTAAACTATAACGTTATTTGTTATAGCATATTCTGTAGCATTTCATGCAAGTTGTCGCATTACTTCCTGAATTCGTTACTTTCTGTAAAATATTTTATAAAAAAATATGTTTAAAAGCAATGATGTTGAATTTATCTGCAATTTACTTTTAAGTACTTTAAATTGCAGATAAATCTCAAATATCAGTGCATATTATACAGTTTAATATTTTGCCGCGTTTGATTTCCATGTATTCAGGAGAATGAACAGAAGAAAAATATAATTTTAAACTTTTTATACGCAACTATGGATTTTCCTCAAGATTTTTATTACATTTTTTTTGATCTGATAAAGAAACGATTACGGATTGAATGTGGTTGAACGAACACTGTAAAAAATGGATACTCGATTATCACGAAACTTTCTTTGCTTTTGACAAAACCGTTTCCTGGTATGAGCTCCGAGCAAAAATTTCGTCAAAGTGGCGAAAGAACTAGTGTCACTTCTTTAAGGAAACGAATTTCGTCAAAATTAAAGAAATATTTCGTCATTCTAATTCTTCCACACAAAAAACTCGTGCCTATTGAATATAACTTCTTTTATAATTACTTTTAACGTAGGAGGAACCGCATAGACGGTATGACACAACAAGGACAGGTAGATAAATTGCATCCATGCCCGAAGAGGGATTCGAACTTCGGATCTTTCTAGTACAAGGTCAACTTCTAGACAATCATACAACAGGTCAGCATAATTCGGCAGTTTATTTTCGATTGTCTAGTGTTTTTTCTAGTTTCGTCATTCTAGTTAACAATCTCCCACAGTGCACAACGAAAAGGTACTCAATTGACGAAACATTTTCGACATACATTTGAAAATTAGCGTTTCGTCACAAATCACGTAATTCGTGATGAAATGATTCTCAAAATTAACGAAGTATTGCTCGAAGATTGCTGAATCGTCAAAAGTGAGAGTTTTATTTCTGAGAGTGAATACGGTGCAAACCCATATACATGATTAATGAACAAAATCATTCGTGCATTAATGGTATGAAACTGTAAACACGATTACAGTACGGATTAGTTTGAACCAAGAACGATAAAATTTCAGGACAAACCACAACGTGATTCCAGAATTTTTTTCTCAGAGTTTCCTTTCGTGCTGCAAACCTTAAATGCTCTTTATCAATACTGAAAGGAAACAGATAGTTAATAATGCAAATTTGAATAGTTATCACCCTATAATTTAAGATTTAGTATCTCTGTCTTATTTCACTTTTAGTATCATTGTCACAAACTTAATATATAGCTGTCATGCATTTCTATTTATGGCAGAAACAAATTATATTTCTCTACGTTCATAAAATATTTCAATTTTGTTTTTCTCTATTTCAATAAAAATTATTGAATTCATGGAAGAACGTGGTAGTTTCTGATATTATTTTCAATTTCTATTCATTCAGTGATTTTGTGTTGAAATATAAAATTTTCTAGTGAATTCTAACTTTTTCGTCTTAATTTTAAATTACATTATCTGCTCTATTATCAGTTTACTATTTCTGTTTAAATCATTTAGTTCCATTCTGTTATATGATAAATTCTACTAAAAACAGAGAAAAAAAATCTACAGCTATAATTTATAGATAAAAAAATTATTTTTTGCAATAATTTTCAGCAATATCCCTTAACTACATTTATTTTTTCATTGGTTTTAAGAGATTGATGCTGCACACCAACAATAGTAAAAGAAACTTTATTTAAAATTAAAATAAACTTATCAACAAAAAAAATAAGGAGAGAAATTAAGCTCTTTAAATTAAATCGTAATTTAGCTGCTAAAAGAAAATTTGAGGAAAAAAAAGAATCCAAGAAATTCATACACTTAAAATAGAATAAATAACCAAAGAATTGAAGAGAACTTTATAAATTCAATAAAATATTATAAAAGAAAACAATAAAATCATTCTCTTGAGAAATGCTTTTTACCGCCACAAGGCGCTAAATTCATTTGTGTTACTTTGCCACGTTTTGAAAAAAAAGTACGTCTCCGAAACGTCCTCTTAAATATTCTAGCATTAAAGTGTAAACTCATTAAGTGTATGTTGACGCCTGGTGGCTGAGTGGTAGCGCTTCGCACACCCGTGCCACAGGTCCTGGGTTTGATCCTCGGGTAGGGCAAAGTTTGACTCAGCCTTTCATGCCTTCGGTGGGTCGATAAATGAGTACCAAGCATGCCTGGGAACTAAACACTGGGGGCTCCACGTTCGGCTGACCACCTGACCTGAACATCTGCTCCTGCACCCCAGAGCCCAAGGTCAAGAAAACTGAGATGGGCACAGTAGGCCTTGGCCCTCCATGGGCTGTCGCGCCACAGGGTTTAGTAAAGAGTAAACTCTTTTACGATATTTCTCTGTTGTTTGAACTAAAGTTAATAATAGTTCGGGTGATGATAATGAGAAGAAGTTTACAGAGCAATAAATCAATGCTATCAAATTACCACACAATTATGGAACCAAACATTAAAATTTATTAATGTTGCCTTTCAACAATAATCAACTGCGCAAGTACTGATCATATTTTTTGTTTGGTTTAATCATGTTTTTCTGTTCGGCAGTATTATATTGTTGGGAGTATGTGATCTAAGTTGAATATCTAATAACGCTATTTTTCGCTAGGAAGAAAATGTAATAACTAAGAAAAATTAACCCGTGATTGAAATTGCTTGCATACCTACCTCTCTGGAAAATCAGTTTAACGTTGAATCATAGTTTTGATATCTCAAACTACAACACGGTGCACATTCTCAGCAGTCTAATGTATTAAACTGAACCATGTTTCCGTTAATGTTGAGCCTTATTTTTGTATAGCAAAGTTGCTCAAGCAATTTGTAAGGTTTCAACTTTGCTCCGTTTTTAGGTTGCAGTGGATTTGAAGGATGCTCAATGCTCAACGCAAAATTTCAAACAGTACAGAAATCAATTCTCAATAAACAACTTAACAGATTGTAAGCAACGCAACCATTAATTTTTCGGTGTTAACTCTTGTATCATAATACAGTCTAACCACATTTCGAGCTTCATTTGATAAAACACAACCTAAATTAATAATTATTACCTAGCGGAAAAACATCGCTCCAATGACCTGTTCATTTTATTTTGATACCATGCTAGCTGTAAATGGTTAAAAAAGGATAAGGTTTTCAATTCATGGCTTCATAACCCAGCTAGTTGTATACGGTTTTAAAACCATAAAGGTGATGTATGTTTTTAACCATAAACTTTATGGTTAGTTGGATCGACAGGCTGCAGCTGGCTATTTTACCGTAATTTCCGAATAGAAATTCTAACTGTGTAAAAGGCAATCGTTTCCGTTTTTCTTTAAAAAAAAAAAAAAAAAACATTATTAAAATGGGCGAAGTGTTGGAAAATTTTTATTCGATGGTGGTGGGAAAGAAGAATATAAATATGCCTTAAAAATGATACTCAGATTTTTGTAATACTTAAAACTTATTTAAAAATATATAACATTAGTACATAGGATATGTAATACTACAATGTAGATTTCAATGTTTATTTATTTATTTTCAATTATAATTATGGCATTTTCATGTACCTTGACTTTTACAAGTTCAAAAAAGTAAAAATATGATTACTACTTTCATAAAATTAAAAATTCATAATATTGTCCAATGTCATTACACAGCTCCCATTCGTAATGTTGTTTCCAAATTTTCTAAATGATACCTAGATTCATTTAAATTAGATTGCTCTTTATCATCAATATCGATTTTATGTTTTTTATGACAAGCCATTTCTCTGTTTAACCTGTTTTTTTATTATGAATTGTTTATTAAAAGTCTACATCTCTCTGTAGACTATTCATAAGCAAAGGAAAAGTAATATGAAACTATATTCATTATTTTTTGGACCAAGTTTAAATTATTTGACTGTAATTTTACGATGACCATTAGTGAAATTGCAGAGAACTGCGTGTTTAGTAATCTTCATCTGTTACTAACAACAATATAGTTTTAAATATTCAAGATTAGAATAAAAATTATTAATTATTTCCGCAAAGAAGCAGTTGTGTCTGTTTTAAATGTCAACTGGTGGTTCATGAGTTGTTAAAATTCTTAAAAATCATGCTGAATATTGCTTTTAATTTGAATAGTTATGTTTTGTTAATCACTTTTCTGGTAGTTCATTTATAGTCGAATGCAAAATGCAATAAAATCTCTTTTATATTATCTTTTACAGTTCGTTTTAGAAACTCTTTTTAAAGTTTATTAAATAATGACTCCAAATGAATCGTAATTGTGAAACAGCTATTATAAATTATTTGTGCTAAAATCAAAATATCATTCACACTTTTAATTTATAAGGTTATAGTTATGAAAAATATTTATCCTGCCAAATTTATTGTCTGACAAAATATTTTTAAATTGAAATGTATTCAGAGAAAGTGGTGCATATAGTTCCTCAAGTATTTAAAAGGAGAAATTTATATGTTTTTAAAAACAAATTCAAAATATTATGGAAAATGTTGAGTCTTATTGGAATTTGCCAGGAGGAGGAAAATTCTAAAAATGATACTACCAATTTTCTAAAACCTTTGTTACGCAATATTTTTCCTGTTTTTCTATCCTCAAACGGTATTTTCAATTTGGCAGTAG